GAGGGAATGCCCACCCATCAGCATTAGTAGCTGGTGGAAGGGCACGCCCGAAAGTCTTTTTAAGAGAAATTAAAAGCAGGTCATAGGAGTAGGATTTTAGAAATGAAAAGGAAAGAGAGGAATTAAAATTAAATTAGGAATAGTTAAATGAGTGGGGAAGAATGGGAAAGTGTGTAGGTGAAATGTTAAGGGTTAGGTTTAACGAAATGATGATCCGAGAAATATTGAAAAGCTAAGATACGTAGAGTGCATATAAAGGCCTGTATTTTGGAACATTGGCAAAGGGATTGTAGTTCAGGGTACTTTTTTAAAAGAAAAAAAAGAGATAAATATAATAGCAAGGCTTAGCATTGGAAATGAATGTGGAGAATGCAAGTTTTGGCTAGCGGACGATGAAAACTGGCATGGAATATGTGAAATAGGAAAGAAAATGTTGCTGCATGTATTGGGAAAATGTAATGAAAGTAGGGATTGAGATGAGTGTAGTGAAATGATAAGAGAGAGTGGAAATTGGCTGACCCCCTTAAAAAAGATATGTAAAAAACAAAGGGAAGTGTTTTAGGAGAGGGGATAGGTAATGAAATTTTGAAAAACTTATGTCTGTCTGTCCTGTAGAAAGAGGGGTAAGTTATAAACATTATGTATAATAATGCTGAAGTCTTCTTAAATTAACAATTTCAAGTAATTTACATCATTGTTTAGTTTTCTTGTTTTAGTACTGTTTATATCAGCTTTCCTATATTGACATACAGCTTTATCGCATGATCGTATTATTTTCGGAAACTTCCCGTTGGTTCCATCTTCGTCCAAGATTTACGATCCTATTATAAGTATTCAATTTGAAAGAAGTTTTTTGACCTTGAATAATGATGTCTTAATCTTGAATAATTATATAGTGGAAAAAATCCACAATTTTCTTATTTTTTCTTATAAGAAGGAAGGGGGCGGGGGCTAATTCTTGATCGCTCCCTTAGGGGCTATAAGAATAAGGGAATTTTGTTTCTTACAAAATAGTACATTTCATTTTCCATTTTTATTTAAATTCATACACCTTTAACAAATAAATGTATGATATTATGTACAGATTTTTATTGGAGGTCAATTGAATTAATCTCCTTGAAAGAAATGCAGTTTTTGATGCGTGAAAAAAAAACATTGCAAAATAGGGACATATATACATGCATTGTTATAAAGATGCACTGGTAGATTATGAAAACTAAGTTACGATTACCTATTTCGAATTCATAACGGAAATTCTATTCATTATATGGTTGTTTATTTTTATCTGCAGTATAAATTCATAAAAATGTAACATTATGTTCGTGGCTCCAATAAAAAATATGTCGTTAGTTAGTAAATGGCTTATTTTGGGATTAGTTTGAATATATTTTGCTTAATTATTTATCTAATTAAATATTGAAACATAATCTGTAATATAATCTATGGGACTAGAAGTTTAAGTGCCATTAAAAGGTACCAACTGTTGTAAATTTATTAATTAGGCGGTTTGTAATTGGAATTATTATTTGGTAAAGTAAAATAATAATTGTGTTGAAGTAAATCCTTGCAACCCTTTTTACAGTGATACTCCATCCATTAGTTTATTTCCACACTTTATTTACTACGTGGTACTTTTAATGAATTGAGAATAAATATATAATAAATTAATGGTTATCATTGTTTCAGTTGTGATAGCAGCAAGGTCCAGTACAACGAAAAGCTTTTGGAAGTTGCTACACCAGGCACTTTGTGATACACAGGTGACAATATCCAATTTTGCCTTGTTCGACAAAGTAAGTTAAGATTTTTTAATGCATTCTAGAAACAAACTTAAAAATAATTAGGTGAAGGTATCTACAATCTAATAGACTTAAAGGAATACTGCTTTTATTGTTAATTGGTATTACTGAGTATAAAATCGAGTAATACAAAATGGCAGCAAAGGTTCAAACTGTCATTAATCAAACATTATTTTGTTCGACACAGTTATCAGATATCTTTTGGATCATGTGTTGGTTAAAACACGTTTTAGAGTGTGTATTTACTTCGTCATTCAATAAAAGATCAAAGTTGGGAATCATTTTTGGTAACAAAAGAATTTTTCACAGTTTTTTTGTGCAACACTACAAAGTTCGATTTTATAAGGAGTTTTTGGCATGTGGTCATTTTTAGATGATCATTATACTATTTACTCATTCTGCTCAATTACCAAAACGATAAAAATACTTTTAAAAATTACCGGAAATATCAGAAAAATCGCAAACTCAGGTTAGTGTTGGAGCCATTTTATGGCACGTTTAATTTTGTTCAGAAAATGTACATTTTTAAGAAACAGAAATCTAAAGAAATATTTACAACCATTGAAATCCAAAACATTGATTGAAAAAAAAGCAACACAATTAATTAGGTACATTTTATGGCGTTCTTAATTTTGTTAGCAACCCTTAAGTATAACAAGATGGCCGCAAAGGTACAAGCAAAAGTTTCAAAAGAAACTTCGAGTGACAGATTATATTATCAATAAATTAATAGACTTGAAAACAATTTCAAACATATATGCAAAAACATATGTTAGTGTAAAATATGTAAAAAGGCAGAGTTTGTTATAACACGTGCGAGCAAAATAAACAAACAAATAAACGATGCGTGGAGCATATGTGCCATGTAGTACTAATTAAGTACGTATGTGGTCAGGATGTTAATGATACGTTGAGAATTGGCTGTTATAATGGAGGTACCTACCAATCTTCCAAATGCGAATTGTCAACAAGATTATTCTACATAAATAAGTGTGGCTTAATGTACGAACACATCCTGTATTGTCTTTTGTTCTAAGTTCACTTACGGAATACAGATACTTTTAAGTATGTATGTGCCTACATGTAAAATAGTTACAGTCAGATGGATTTCCTAGATCCTTGACACGCTACTTTTTGTGTTTTGTTATTATTAACTTCCCATTAGGAAGTTATTGTAATTGGGTCGAAAAGTGAAATCGGAATTTTCATTATATTTCCACGTTTTAACATATTAGTAGCATGCTAGCCAATTTTTTTGATGATGTGTGTATGTACGTACGTACGTTCGTATGTCAGCATTTTTTTCGTTTTCGATATCTCAAGAACGGATTGAGATATCGCCCTCAACCAAAATTTTTTCGAAAGATATTATCATAATGAAGATCTGAAAGAAATTTGAACGAAATCGGTCAAGCCGTTTTTTTTTTATAAAAAAAAAAACGAATTAATTACAAACAATTTAATTAAAATACGTTCTAATCTAATCACAACAATGAAGTTACGGAATCAATAATAACGAAATATCATTATTCAAGACAGGGAATAACATATTATAATAACATATTATAATAAAAATTTGTTTATAACAAAATGAATTGTTATAAACAATCGATAAACAATAAAAAATAGTATTTACCAATTGACTGATGCAAGTACTCTATCAATTCGGTTTTCTCAGACGAAATACTGTTTCTTATGGGTTTATAAAATGACGAACTCTCAAACATTGTTTGTTATTTATTATTGTGCCGCGTTTTTTTCAAACTTTAGAAACGAATGTACTTTACAATAACTGTATTATCTAATGGGAAGTTAGTCGTATTAGCACCGACCAAAGCGTGCTCAGACCAATTTTTAATTATGGCATTGCACTTATGTAAGACGTTATTATTGTCGTGTCGTACTGAAGGCACTTTGGGTACCATAGGTACCTACCTGGGCAATGGGCACCTACCAATACAAAACACTAATTTAATGGTTTAGCCAATGTGAAATTAACGTAGACAATTACGAAAAATTTAAAGGTTGTTGACAATGTGTCAACCTTGGGGAATTCCTTGTTGAACGCCTTTATTCAACATTTATATCATTTGCCATTACATGCTATGACCAGTGGCAAACACGAGATAAATTCAAAATTTCCATTTAATTCATTAAAAAAATTATTGCACGTTTAGTTGATGATAGTACAGAAGTATTTTGATTTTTATTTATTTTATGAAAAACAAAAAATGTGGCAGTACGGTCAATAAATTATAATGTACACTTTTGTAACTTAGGTTGTAGGTGGTATTCAGACAATAAATTTTTTTTTAGATACATTTTATTAAATTTCATTATATAAACAGCCTAGGCATATTTAGTATTGTATTCGCTTTAATTTTTTTCTTGCTGTCACAATAAAACTGTATTATTTACATTTTTATGGCCTAGGTGCCTTATGAATATAAATACATCTTATGATTAATTACACAGCACAAAGTGCAATTAAATTAGATATTGTTATACCTCGGAAATGTATTAAATTGTAGATATATATTTTAAACTTCTTAATGTGTAATATAAAACCCAGCACGTAACATTCTCTCTTTCTTGTTTTTCGTTTTTATATTTAGTCTTTGGCACACCCACTAATGAATAATCAATCACCTTGTAAATTATTGTATGTAAAACACTATAGTATTTTCCTAATGTCTTGTGTTTTTGAGATGTAAATCATTGCTTTTGGAAGCATTTTAATTATATTTATTCTGCTCATTGAAAATACTACATATAGAATAGCTAAAACAATAATTATGCTCTCAAAATGATGATTTTAGTTTCAGTTACTTGTTGTTTGCCACTTTTATGTTAACAAAACACTTGATTACAGTTTTGGTACCATAAAAGGCACCGGTAGAGTAGGATTGCTATATTATCAATAAAATGATACAAAACGTAGTAGAGGAGTTTAGAAGTAATTGATTATTGATAGTTCATTCATATATTAGTAGTTTTAGTTTAATTGTATGTTGATTAAAACATTACTTTTATCATATCGTTCCTTTTTGTTAAAACCAAAGCACTTGAGAGTATAAAGGTTTTTTTAACGTCATTATTGTATCAGTTCACAAACTGACCATAATGGTTTAGACTTATCAAAGTAGATTTATTTTATTTTACCCTTAGCCCTTAGTGTTTTGATTTTGTGAAGTTTGTTAAGTTTCTATCAGATTTTTGAACGTATCTTAAATTGTTCTCTGTGGTTTCAACTACTTGTCAAGTTCTGTGGTAAACGTCAGTTAATGTTTGAATTTTTAAAAACCAGATAATTTTGGTTCAAGGAAATTTATTATAAAACCTATTATTATTATGCATTTAGATACCAAAAATAACGCAGTTTTAAATTGTGGTTCACATAATAATCGGTATTGATCTTTGAAACTTGCAACGTCTCAAAATGTTTGGAAAGGCTTATCAATGTTTACTGTTTTTGATAGTGGTTTGTGCTTTTGGTTTTGAAGAATTCTTTTATGTTTTTGCTCAAATATCTCAGGAAATGCTAGAACAAGGAAGAAATCAATATCAGGTACTACCAGTATTCAAATTAGTATTATTGATGTTAATGTTATTATAACCTTTAAATTTTGCTGAGAACGAGAGCAGTATGTTATGGTGTGAATTTGTAGATGTTAAGGGAAAGAGGTAGTCTCCCTCAGTATGGACCTTGTTGGAAGGCAGCTATTGAACATGTTGAGGATGGATGTCGGGCATTAACTGAAGAAGTACAGAGTGATATGGCCTTACATTTAACTAATTGTTTCCTAGAGATGTCTGGGCATGAGACATACAACTGTGAACTAAACAAAAAACCAAACCTAAAAGCTATATGTATCAATAGCATGTCAGACAGGGCCTTTAATGTTTACACAGAATTCTACACACACACCCAGAATATTTGCTGGTTTCTACGTGGTCAGGTGTGGCATGAAACAATAGCTGAAAACACTTTGAAAGTTGGCAAACAGCTTCTGTCTTCAGCTAAAAACCAAGAGAAACTTTTAAAGGGTCAGCAAGAGAGCTTAGAGTTACAAGAGAGGCTTCTTAATTATGGAAAGTCATTGGAGAAAGTTATGGAGGAGTTTTACACTTCAACAAGGGATCATCAAGAAATATTGAAACTAATGACAAATAGTTTAAATAATTTGCAGTCTTGGTTGATAGGTGAAGTTTCCTGGCTAGATACAATAGTCTTTTATTTGTTTGCTATCATTTTGATTTTATTTTTCACTGCCAGTCCTCGAACTTTCGGTGCTAGATTCCCCATTTTCTTCTTATTGTTTTTAAATGTGTGCTTAGAACGTTTGATAACATTGAAATTGTCTTCACTTATATCTGATAAGAATATTAATATAGTACACCAGGATATGAATTGGTACATTTGGACTTGTCGTTATATTTTCTCCATTGTGTCTTTTGTAATTGTAACTTACAAAGCTTTCACTTTTAAAGATTTAAATTATGAATGTTACGTTTTGTTGCAAGAAATTCGAAAACAACATTTAATTTTACTTGAAAACATAGATGATAGTACTAGGAATAAAAATAATGCTTTAAATGAATCTGTCTATTCAAATATAAGTGAAAATAGTTTGAGCTTTAGAAGAAATACTGTAATAAATGGTAAGATCGATTCACCAAAATCATTTGTAACAACCGATGAAATAGGGAAAGTACCAGATATAAAAAGATACAAGAGTCCAACAGTTTCTTCTGGCTTCTACAATAGGCCATTAAAGGAAACAATTAGTAATAACAGCAGCTTAAATAGCGAAAATACGATGAATAGTAGTAGAAGTAATAGTAATAGTTCTTTTTTAAGAGTCCAAGCAAGGTATAATTTGCGTACTAGGACAGAAACCCCTGAAAAGGCTGTACCATGAGTTCCAAAGATATATTGTATGTACTTATGATTAAGAAAATTGTAAAATAGATTTTGTTGTTCTTTGAAACTGTATATTAATGTTCTTCTACTTTGGCCCACATTTACGTCTTCAACTGTCGAGTTTTTCAAATAATATTTATTATATTTTTATATTTTGGAATGTATGTTTTACTTTTGTTTGTAAATTGCCTAAAAATAGTTACATGTAGAAGTAATACAGGTGAAAACACTTTTAGTTTAGTTCATTAATAAACAATTTTTGTACATACTATGCTAATTGTAAAACGGGTAAATAAATGGTAGTTTTAGTATACTCCAAAGTATATCTGAAGAGGATTTGATATTCGGATCTGATGTAGTTGTCTTTCTTAGGGGAGTCAGTGGTTGGGGGATTTATTATAAATCCTCTTCAGATAAATCCCTAGTCTTTTGATCATACTACATTGCTAGTCTTGCTTTTTATGCCCACAGGGTGTTTATGTACTATAGTAAACTTCCCTGTATAATTGTGTGATATTTATGTAAACTGTAATGTACTGCCTCATTTTTGTTTGTCAGTTTCTTAATTTGCAGCTATGGTACATATTGCTCATAATGTATTAAGACTTGCAACAAAAGCATTTTCTGATGTACCTACGCAATTTGTGGTTTACATTATTTTGTGGTTTACCTTATAGAATATGTCAACTGCCTTTTAAATTTAGCTTTCCTATATTTATTTAACTTTAATTTATTTTATTAAAGTCTGTATTTGTAGGTATTTTCTTTCCAAATCCCTTTTTCAGCTTTACTATATTGTTTTAAGTAGATAGAAAACTATTAATTCTTACAAATTATTTATTGAAAAACATCAAAGTTTCTACATACATGCTATATTAATAATTACAAAAAACAACAAATACTTCACAATAGATGTTAGATCTGTTATAAAAATTGATAAGGCACACATACAGATAATAATACTTTTAATACTCATTTTCTGTGTGTGTATACTACATAATTTGAGGAATATTTAATCTAAAAGCAGGGCATAGTTCTTTTAAAAAATTGGTAAATATTGCCTGAACAAGGAATGATGTACTAACAAGTGTACTGAAAATGAATTCAACCCCTAAGCTTTGCAAGTTGGGCCATCAATTCTTCATCAGAGATATCACGGCTCTTATCTTTAGATGTGCCCCCAATTCTATCAGAAGAAGGTTCTGGTGCTTGACGCATCTGTAAAGTAAAATTCATTGTTTCATAATACTATTGCAATTAATTATGATTAAATTTCTTACCTTTCCACTTATTTCTATACCAATTTCATCTAAAACACTGTTGATAATGTTTGCACTTTCTTTTTCATCATCTGAATCATCCAGTATATCATCTAAAGTATCATTAACTGAAAAAAATGTTACAATTAGTGCCTCCTAATAGTCTCACTGTATTGACATACTCATTTCTTCGGTCATATCCATTTTCATTGCTTCTCTAGAGAATGCATTCACGTTTGCTGCAATTTGCTCAGGTTTCATTATCTTGTTCATATCAGACATGGTTTTGCCAGCAACATTCATAGCCCCAGCCAATTTTAAATTAGCGCCCATTGCTTTATTTTGGTAGCCAACACTTTTAATTTTTCCTGATGCTGCATAAGATCTTGTTTTTTGCTTACGTAATTGAACTAACTGTAGTGCTAATGACTTGCAGGCATCGTTGTTGCCCTCTTTTGCTGCCTTCTTTATCTCTTGTTCCTACATATTACAAATAATTACTACAGGAGCCCTAAAATGCAATGAAGCTTTTAAGATGTTATACCAATTTTTTCTCTTCAAATTCCAATTTTCTTCGATCCCTTTCCATATCCCTTTCAACTTTTCTTAATTCCCTATCTATTTTGCGTTGTTCTTCTAAAATTAATTAAGGAATTGTTTTTAAATTTTGAAATGTTTTAACCTCAAATTATTGTTCTTACCTTTGGGATCAGGTTTTGAATCAAACCAACTAAACATTTTTGTAGTAATTTAATTAAATATACTAAATTTTGTTTAAAAATTGATGTTTTTGTTTTATTAAACTATACAAATATTGCAAAAGTAAAATTATCTATGATTCATAACGGGTCATAACTATGTAAAGCCCCGAACGTTCCGAAATGTCCCGAAACGAATTTAGATATTTGCAACTGTTTCACAGCAGATGGCGCTAAAAGGTTCAAAGATGGCCGAAAATTTTATTTTGTTTCAGTTGCTTGTACCTAGAGGTCACCAGCATAGTCTTTTTAGATTTTATTTGAATTTTTAAAATAGTGATTTTATTATACGTAGTGTTTATTTTAACAACAATAAAAATTTATTGTATGTTTTGCTCGATCATTAGAAGGATATATGGTCATTGAATTAATAAGTCTGAAAATATAAATTCAATTCATTTGCTAAATAATTAATTTTTATTAATTTTATTGCTAATAACTGCAATGTTTAAAGTAATAATAATTAACTGTCTGAGCTTAAACGTGAATAAGAAGCATTTCCAGTTTCAATAATTATCTAGATTAAGTTTAGGGGGAGTTCCTTTGTTTTCGAGACTTACTACTATTAAGGTTCCGTGCGGAAAAGATACTGAGGAACCCTTGGGAATCATCTTTTTCTTAATTTCATATATTCGTTTAAAAATGTACCAGGATTGACAAAGGACATTCTTAATCGTCTTGTATTTTTAATGGTTGACTCGACATCTTTCATATTTAAATATATGATAAAATTTCAATTCCGTCTTTAATATTTAATTCAAAAAACTTGCACTTATCCTTTTTTTTAAACTAAAGTAACTATTTTGGATTAAAAAACATTAGTTATTGATAATATGGAAACGGTTTTGTACCCTATGCGATAGTAAATTCAGTAGCAGATTGCCGGTGGTTGTTTTTTCGGAATTTTGGTGAAGTCGTAAAGTAAAGTTAAATCGGATAACAGCAAAACGACCACAATACAAATTGGATGTTTATCTGGTATTAAAAAGCGTCTAAAGGCTCATTAGAGAATACGTGAAGCGACTGGAGCCATGTAAATTCTCGAAAACAACCGCACAAATTACATTCGGTGCGCGGGGACTCCACAGGAGGCAAACACCACTTGGTGGACCCCCTGCCGTCAGCCGGGTTCTTGAAACACAACATCGAAGGCTTTATTATGTTTACTAGAAAAAAATAAGAGAAGGACGGGGCTTCATGAGCTGATTTATGAAAGGAGTTCGTGCACGACAGCCGTCCATTTTTCACAACTTCTGTTTCGACGTTCACAATAATTATGACAGTGAACGAACTAAGAATAATTTGATTTATCGTCATCGGGTGTTGATAAATAGACCGTTGTATTATTGGTATCTGGTGTAGGGTTAATTGTGTAAGTACCTTTAGTCATAATGCCCTTGAATTCGAAGGGAGGTGTGTGAAACGTAATGCTCAAAGCCTAATAAATTTCACGATTGCTGTTTATGTTTACATTATCTTACATGTATTAGAAAATTAATGCCGAAAAGTACTTATTTGACGTCGCACTCTAAAACTGGTGGTACCATGAGATTCTCCGTACTCTTTTACGTAACTATCACTTCTCAGAGCTTAGTAATTGCCTTTTATCTCCCAATAATTTTACGTGCGCTTTTTTATGTTTAATGTATTCTACATATTTTAGCAAAAATAATGCCGAAAAGTACTTATTTGACGTCGCACTCTAAAACTGTTGGTACCATGAGATTCTACGTACTTTTTTACGTAACTATCACTTCTCAGAACTTAGTAATTGCCTTCTATCTCCCAATAATTTCACGTGCGCTTTTTTATGTTTAATGTATTCTACATATTTTAGCAAAAATAATGCCGAAAAGTACTTATTTGACGTCGCACTCTAAAAGCGTTGGTACCATGAGATTCTACGTACCTTTTTACGGTACTGTTATTTCTCAAAGCTTAATAAATACCTTTGCTCTCTTAGTAATTTCACGAAAGCTTTTTATTTTATACTGCAAATGTTACAGCAAATTGTTGATGATAAGAGAAATGTTTGAAAAATTTACAGCCCTTTGATTTCTTTTAATGAAAACTCTCATATTTTACTTTCTAGCTTAGGCTTCGAATCTTTTAAACCCAATTCAAGATCGTGCGGTTTTAGATTATCGGCTTGTAGAGTTTTGAAAGTCAGTTGACTGTTTTTTATCAGTTAATTAATCTCGGAGGATACATATAATATAAAGCAGGCTCTGTTTCTTCAGGTAATCACGGTTGATTCGAGTATAATAGATCTATGACATAAAAGGTCGAAACGTTTTGGTTACAATTTAGTTTTGTTTGGACATTCTGCTGAATGATGACTTGTGGTATTTATTACGAATGATGACGCATCTGCCGCGGTATTACATACTAAAGATGGAGATACTGCGATTGAAATAGGATTTTTTTCTTGAGTATCATGCGGCGCTCATCTAGAATTATCTCATGTGTATTTGAAGCTGAAAGTTATTGTTGAAAATTCCAGGTACAGCTTTTATGTTGTCGTAAAATTAAATGGATTTTTTAGGCAACAAAGGGAGGGGGGCAGTATATACCGAAAAGTAATATCGGCGTTTAGGTGGTACCTACAGCTACGTCAAAAACAGATTCATTCTTAAACATCAGAATTTGCTGCTCCTTAAATTTTATGAACATCCATAAGTTTATTTTAAAGATTTCATGAATTATATTCACCGACTTCAAATCGAGAATCGCCCTGTGTAATTGTTAATTATTTCAATCAAACATAAAAAAATTTAAGTATTTGTCTTTCCCTGTCTCATTGAAGACCTTGCAAACCTGCAGTGAAGTTCCAAAATCACATAAAGTGAAATGACTGTAAAATATATGCATATGCTCTGCAATCTGTTAAGGGTCCTTTGGTTTTTTTGTTAAGTACCTTTACCTCAGGCATGAAGGTCTAGTCAGAAACATATAAGAGGCAGAAATGGGAGTTAGGAGGGGTAGAGGTAGACCTAGATTAGATTACTGTTCGCAAATAGTAAAGGATGTGGGTTGTTCTAGTATTGGGGAAATGCGAAAATAAGCTCAGGATAGGAGTAAGAGGTGCATGTCCAATCAGTCTTAGTACTGATGATAGTTGGACTTTTGCTATAAACTGGTCTTCAAAGGGATTTTTCCTATTTATTTTATTTGTGATTAAAAAAGGATAAAAAGCATCATAGGTAATATTATTTTGTTTCGTTTTGTTGCTGTGGCTACATTCATGGTATTTTAACTATAATCCCTATGAATTTTTTCTAAAGTATTAAAAATGGACGCCCTTCTTAGGCCATTAATTATACCATAATGGGTCTGTAAAACGGCACGCAGTAAAAATACAGAAATCGTTTTATTGTAAACCAATTATCCATTTTTACATATCGGCTTATTAACTTTGGACATAGTCATGATTCTTGTGAGCGATAACCAATTTCGTGCCTTTAGCGGTGAAGCTAATTTCGTTAAATTCAATCAGGTTTATAGGCGCTTGTCCTTTTGTAGGCAATTTGGTTTTCACTCCTTTTCGATGACGTAGTCTTTTGGAACGTTACGATGCATCGCATTATTATTGTAGATACCTATAGGTATACCTATGCAGAGGTCATTTTGGTACTATATGGGCGTTTGTGTGCCGTGACCTGTAATAAATTTTGTCAGTCACTCGTTAAAATTTTACTCGCTGCTGCCTGCCCAGAGGAAATTAATAATAAATGGACGTCGAAGACTGCACACTTTTGCCTGTGATTAATTCGAGTTTAAATGCCTCGGGGGGACATTTAAAACGCGCGCATTAATTAAGCTCGATGCTTTGTGATTAGCGAGGAGAAACATTGACGGGGAAAAGGAGGGAAGAGACAGGGAAAATTGACAACTTACGCTCTCATCAGACGCCTAGTTAAATACCAATTGATAGTCGACGTCTTCCTCAAAGGCGCTACCGAATTACACCCTCTAACGTTTCTAAATTGAAGGTTATGACAAATGAGTGCACGACTAGTTTTGAAAACTCATAAATATTCGCAATGATTTGTGTCAGAGTTGCGAAAATTTTGTAAATATGGACGATAACCTTAAACTTGTTAAACTTTCAAAACATAGCTATGAGTTTTGTTCTTCCCCCCTTCGGAATTCCTTTCGTATAGCTAACTCTGTGTGTGACGACACCACTACAACCCAGAGAAAACTTTAATCTTTTGGTGCATTTGAACTACTCAACGTATGCCCATATCTTTTAACATAACTTGGTTTCTCTGTAGCATATTTCTTTTTACTCTGCAATGTTCTTACGTTTCTTGGTCTTAAAATTAGATACGATCCAATCTTCAAAGTTGTGTAACCATTGAAAATTTAGAAGGCAATTTCTCTTGCTCATTTTTATGAGAGACAGCAGAAGAAACAGAAATGTAAAAAACATATAAAGGATGAACCGATGTCGAGCGAGCAAAAATGAAGCAAAAGCAAACATAATAGATGTAACGAGTAACAATTGTGGCAAATGCTAAGTTCAAATAAGAGCCAAGATGGCTGCGGCTGAGAAATGGTCACGATGTGGTGCCCTGACTGGTTGATAAGGCCATAGCCGCAGCCGGTGGTATTTCGTTCGTTCTTTGGAAGTAAGGGTATCGAGTGGTAAAATATAGGCTGCGCTCCGGGCTGAAGATGTTCTTAATTAGATTCGCCACGAACGCGAAAAGTTGCGGTGTAGCTGGTCTTTAATACCACGAGGTGCAGTCACGATGTGCAAGTCGTGTGAGAGATGATACTTGTGGAGCACGGTTGCAAAACAATGCTATATACAAACATGTACAGTTCGCATTTTGTTATTTCGTCTTGTAAAGAAAGGAAATATTTAGAGTTGCAAAAGATTGCTTGTCATCAATGTCTGAAACGTGTCCATACCAATTTGGAACTATTAAGTTTTTGAGCTATATCTTTTAAGTTCCAAGAATTGGTACCACTATCAGAACGGGATAGATTTTAAGTTCATACAAAGTCTTTAAGACTTTATTTCGTTCTAACCCATTCTATAATTTCTAACGATCTTATGAGATTATCTTCTTCTTTATTTCTGAATGGAAGTCAGAAGCAGCATGG